GCTGCCGATGTAAATAAGGATTCTTCCAACCAGCTGGATGGCGACCTTACATTCAATGACGACCGGGTCATCATGCGGACGGCGGACGCTGCCCCTGTCCTTCTCAGTGATCAAGACGTCTGGGAAGGTGCTTGCAGACGTCTGCTCATCATCATCCTTGTCCATCTTTCGAAGATGGCTCTTGGTGCCCCGGATGGTTGGGCCACCAAAGGAGAACCAGCCTGCTATTGTGTAGACCAGCTCCTTGTCGGTTTCCGAGCTACTAGCAGGCTGGGGGTAGTCTTGGATGACTGACCCATGTTCTTCTTCTTTGCCCCGGCTGAGGACTTGGAAATGTAGGACTTCAACATTCCCTTGTCAGCCAGACTGTCCAACGCCCATTGAAGGCTGAAGCAGTCGTTGGTGTCATGGCCAACTTCCTCATGGTATTGACAAAATTTATTTTTGTTCCTTGATTGAATGGAACTTTTCATTGGATTCGGCTTCTCTAGGGACAGCCGATCCTTAATTTCCATGAGGATGGAATTGCAGTCCTTGTTAAACTCATACTTGGGGACGTACGGTTTAAACTCTTTCTTCTTCTTCTGGGTCGGCTGGTCAGAATCACTAACCACCCATATTTCTTTTCTCTTCTTACTTTCTTCTTTCTTTTTGGCCGGCTGGGTAGGCCGGCTGTCTTTCTGCTTGTCGGACCTCTTTGAGTTCGACTGGCTGCCAGGCAAGCAGAGGTCGGTAGCTAGTGTGCCTCAGTCGTATGCAACCAAAAATATCACAACTAAGCTAACTGCAAATAAACGTAGTTAGGGGAGTCGAGTTCGAATCCACAGGGAAAAAGGGACTAATAACTGCAAACCTAAGTGGAATTACTCTAGGAACGTAGTAATCTAAGTAACAAGGGGGTTTTGACAAGCAATGGTGACAATTAAACTAAATCAGAACAATGAACGTAAATAGTATGCAATCAATGAGAACAACGGTCTTGGTTATGCGAAATCCACAATTGAACATACAAATTGATCATAGAAGCCTCTTCAATCAAACACTATTGAACACCTTGTTGTAGAATTCTAAATTCTAAATTCTCATAAGCTAGTTAGAAATAGCAAAGCGCTCCTTTCTAACCCTTTCTAATGTATAATTTAAGACAAGCGCTCTAAATCATCCACAAGAAGAACATAAACGGAGAAATCAACAAGGATTGAATAAATTAACACAAGCGGTCTAATTTCTTCAATAATATTATTCCCTCTTTAAGTTATCAATCAAAAGCATGCATTCATAACCCAAAGTTGCTACTTTGGAAAGATTAATTAGATGCAAGCGAATCTAACAATTCTAACCTAGCAATTGATTAAAGCAAATCATGAAATAATTCAAAGGAATAATAAACATTCAATAGATAATAAAGAGAAGAGAAATCTCACAATTCGTAGCCAAAAGCTTCAATCTTTAACCAAGAATCCGGAAGATTAAGCTTCCATGGATTCTAATTCAAAAACAAAGATTTCTGAAATTTGCCAAGAACCCTAGAAAACTTTTTCTTCTCTCTAACTTAATTCTCTCTAATTAACCTCTCCTAACTCTTCATAAAAATAGACTATATATATGTTTCCATACTTAAGATAACATAAAACAATAATAAAAATAATAAATAAATACAAAACACGAGCCAAGACAAAGCAAACTACTGAAAAATAACCAAAACAGGCCCCGAAATCTGGAAGACCCGCTGCCAGCTGCTCGGGACCCGCTGGCAGCGGCTAAAGCAGCAAAACACTTCGTCCTCTCTGGCTGACCCGCTGCCAGCGGCTCTGGCCAGCTGCCAGCGGCCCTGGCAGCGGTTCTGCTGTCTTCTTTGCTCTTTCTTCTAGCTTTGCTTAACCTTTACTCAAGCTTTCTCCCTTGCTCTCCAAGCTCCATCACGCTTCTCAAATCACGAGCTAAGGTCCATACTCTATAATCCTCCTCATTAGTTCCCGAACTCACTCACTAACACCTATAAATCCCGGCTTTTGCACACAAGTGAGATCACCGCCCGAAACTCACAAAAGCTATTAAAAACTCATGCACAACATCAAAACACACCCTAAAACTCTTCTCTCAACCCTTGATAAGACGGCTTATCAAACTCCCCCATACTTGAACCTTTACTCGCCCTCGAGTAAACTTAGAGAATAGAACACATCTCCCCATTAAGGTTCAAAACAGAAGATGGCGGAACCGAACAAGCTCTACGCATTCAAACTCAAGAAGACATCCTAACAACCACCAACTAACCGCCTTCCTACTTCACAAACTCCCTTTTTCATTTTTTTTTACATTCAACTCATCCCCCAAAACCAACCTAGAACAACAAGCACATAGCCAAGAGCATAGATATTCTCAACTATCCTACCACACGAAACTTTTGATAAAATTGGGCAACCAAGACTCAACTAAACCACAAGTCCACAAAAGAAAACACTTCCACACTCAAAAGTCAAGAAAAATAACTCTAGCTTTCTAAGCATGATCAACACTTCTCCCGAACTTCAACTATCTCCTGAAAACATCAAGATGAGACCTACCCGACACCTCCATATTTCTCCTCCCCTTATGACACCGACTCCGGCAAATAGATGCGCAAATTCACGAATTTTTCTCTCTCTTCTCTCATTTTGCCTAGGAGCCCTTTCGGGTTTTCATCCTAGCCTCTCATCTTTTTCCAAATCTCACTTTCTCACCCACTCATTAGCCACTTTTTTGCTTAGGTCGCCCTTTCGGGTTTTCAACCTAACCGGGCCCCCATTTTTGCCTAAGCCGCCTTTTCAGGTTTTCGGCTTAGCGGGTTTCTTTTTCTTTTTCTTTTTCTTTCTTTTTTCTTTTCAATTTTTTTCTTTTTTCTTTTTCTTTTTGCATTTTTTTTTTGAACCACAATTAAGATAGTTATACAAAACATGAAATCAAGATAACTATACAAAATTTCAAAAATATGCAATGAAAAGCTTCCCCCCCCCCTACTTAAATGAGGCATTGTCCTCGATGCAAGAACAACTACAATGAAAACAAAAGTAAGGGAAAAGGAAGAAAATCGTTACCATCTCAATGAGAGGGACCTCCAGAGCCAGAAGAGCCGGCATCACCCCGAGAAGCACGCCTCTCGGAACGACGCAAAGCACGGGATGCCAGGTGATCCATGAACGCCTCAGTTGGGGGCTCATACTGTGGATATTGAGCGGTATAAAACCGACTCATGCTTCTCTGATATGCAAGCAGCTCTTGCATCCCATCGCACACCTCCTCTAGTCTATCATCTACATCAGCCCTCCAGTGAGGCCAATCATCGTGCTGCACTCTAGCAGCATCCTCACCCCCATCCTCATCAACAAACTCTCCGCCCATATGAACATCGGGATTCTCCTCTCCCATGTTCTCAATTATTACTTCGACATCTCCCAAATAGGGGGCAACATCCGGGTCGGGCGCAAGGAAAAAGTCTGCGGCAGCAGGGCCATAAGGCAAAGCTCGTCCCTCGGGACGAGGAATTCTCAAATAGTTCAGGCCCTGTGGCCCATATCGCCAGAAATAACTACCGACGACGGGGGAACGCGATAACAAACCAATCTTGACCAGAGTCATGATGTTATAAGTTAGGTACGTCGAATCCACTGGCACAAGATCTGCGGGGGGTGGAACATTTAAATAACAAGCGAGCAGGGAGACCATACCACCCATGCTAATGTGGCCACTTGAATTTGACCGCACTTTCACACAGCTATCTACAAAAATATCGACCCAATTGGGGGTGCCGACACCCTCAGGGGTCATCGCCCACAAATAAGATAATGTAGCCTTGGGAACCTTAGTAGCTTCTCCTTGACATAGTATGGTGGACGAAATAAACCTATGAACGAGTCTAAGGCATGGGTGAGTGATCTTGAAGCTATGATCACCATGAGGGTCAACTTCACAACCAGTTATAGCCCTCCAAAATGTTCGGGACGAGTACGTGCTATAATCACCCCAATGGTTCACCAATGGGGGTGCATCCCAACCAAATGCCATTCGCATATCATCATAAGACACAACATGATTCCTATTATTCAAATTAAAGGATATTTGATCACGTCCTTTAGTAAGAGTTGAAAGGAATTCATAGGTATACCTGACATAGGTGGGGGCGCATTTGGTCATGAAATTCTCCAGACCCACTTTCCGTAGCAAGAGCCGCACTACTTCCTCCATGCCTAGCTCTTGCAAAGCTTCTAAGTCAAAAAACTTGGTGCATTGCACCGTTCGTCGTGGTTGTTGAAGCTTAGTCCATATCCCCTTCTCCTTGGAATTCAACCGCATACCCATGAATCCATCCCCTTTAGGCAATGGAGGTGCCTCACCATGACTAGAAAAAGCACCTTGCTTCTTGCCCCTTGGGGGTCTTGATGGAGATGATGCTTTAGACCTCTTGTTGTCTCTACCCATGGCTATAAAAAGGAATATGTTCACTTGCACCTTCACCTTCACCTTCAATGAAAATAAATTAAGCTTGCAATTCCACACAACCAACTCAATTTCACAATTGAAATCAAGAAAAATGGTAAACCTTAGGTGAAATTGTGATGGGAATTGAGAATTTGATGAAAGATGAAGATTTGGGAAAGGGAAATTGGTAGGAATTTGGTATAATTGGAGTAGGGGAATGAATGAGTAGAGAGAAGGAGAAGAAAAGGAGTAAGGGTTTATGTGAATTGGGGTTGAGGGAAGAAATAATGAAGTTGGAGTTGGAAAAGGGGAAATAAAGGGGAAAAAAAAAAAACTCGGGGAAGCTGGTGGAGCCGCTGGTAGCGGCTAGAGGCCCGCTGCCAGCGGCTCTGGCAGGTTTTGGGAGATTTTTGGGCTGGAAGACCTGCTGCCAGCGGGTAAGGGGCAGCTGGCAGCGACTGATGCTGAACCAACTTTTTTTTTTTTTTTTTTTTTTTTTGAAAAAAAATAAAAACGTAGAGGGGGGTCCCGCTGGCAGCGGCTCAGGAGCAGCTACCAGCGGCTGGGACAGAAACAAAGGGGTTTGGGCTGCAAGAAGACCCGCTGGTAGCGGCTGCAGAGCAGCTGCCAGCAGCTTCTGCAGGGAAAGCCCCCCTTGTCTCTGTTTTGCTCTGTTTTTGCTGCGTTTCGCGCATAAAAATTGCTCCCAAGGCCTCCACCTACACAAAAACAATAAAAACACTCTTCACATCACACGAAAAAATAAAAACTAAACTACGAAAAGTAATGGGGAAGAGTTTTCGATCGGGTTGCCTCCCGATTAGCGCCTTTGTTTTACGTCGTTGGCTCGACGCGGCTCATCCCACTTCTCTACTCCATTGATGGCTCGTAGAGATCGATGCTCTCCACGTTCTCGGTTTTGAAACCCTCGAAGTAGGGTTTGAGCCTTTGTCCATTGACTTTGAAAACCTTATCGGTCTCGGGGCTTTGAATTTCAACTGCTCCATGCGGATATACGTTCACCACTTGAAAAGGGCCCTCCCAACGGGACCGAAGTTTTCCCGGAAATAATCTAAGTCGGGATTGATATAGGAGTACTTTTTCACCGACTTTAACCTTCTTCCTAGCAATCATCTTGTCATGCCACAACCTATTCTTTGCTTTGTGGTATAAATGGGACAATTTCTTGCCCGGAATTGCAGACGGGCCGATTGTTGAACCTGGTGGTATAGGTGGAAGCTTGGAATGTTCATTCAATTCCCCCACCTTCACCTGCACATTAGTAGGCATAGAGAAATCCAAGCAATCACCAGATACAACATTAGTTATAGGTGTGAGGAACTCATCCCCACGATCATTGTTAGGAACATCATGCACCATTGGATCGACAACATTAAGAGAACATAAAGAATGAGTGTTGACAGGATACTTTATGGAATCATAAATGTTATACCCAATTGCTTTCCCATCAACCTCCATAGTCAAGGAACCGGTAGACACATCGATTTTTGTTTTAGCAGTCTTCAAGAAAGGTCTTCCTAACAAGATGGGGACTGCTTGTTTGTCATGTTCCATGTCAAGCACATAAAATTCAGCAGGAAAAATCAAACCATCAACCTTAACCAACACATCTTCCACCACCCCCTTAGGATACACATTAGACCTATCCGCTAACTGAATCACTACCCCAGTTCCATGTAAAGGTCCAAGTTTTAAAGATTTAAACAGGGAATATGGAATAACATTAATTGATGCACCCAAATCCAACATAGCTCTATGAAAAGTGGTGTCCCCTATTGTAACTGGAACAGTAAACATACCAGGATCACTGCATTTTTCAGGAAGTTTCTTTTGGAAAACTGCAGAAACATGAGCACTCACTTTCACTTTTTCCTTCCCTCCTAACCTGTGCTTCCTCTTTATAGTACACAGTTCTTTCAAAAATTTAGCAAATCGATGAACACTTTTTATTAAATTCAAAAGGGGAATGTTTACCTCACACTTGCAGAATGTTTCATAGATGTCTTTGTCTTTCTCATACCTCTTTTTTTCTTTCAAAGCTTCAGGAAAAGGTGGTGTGGGTTCATAAGATGGAAAAGTGGGAGGATTTGCTACAGCTTCATGTTCCACTTCCTTCTCTTCAGCTCCAATCAACTCTTCAGCCCTCTTGGTTGCAATTTCAGTCTCTTGCAACTCTTTGCCATTTCTCAATGTTATTGCATTGACCTGTTGCTTAGGATTCAGCTCCGTTTGAGATGGAAGCTTTCCTGAATCTTTAGCTTCAAGTCTGCTCACTGCACTTGAAATTTGGCTCACTTAACTTTCCAAATTCTGAATACTGGATTTGGTTCCTTGCTGGAATTGCACCATGTTTTGCTGCATAGTAGAAACATTAGAAGTTAGTGATCTAATTATTTCTTCAGTTGACATATTACTCGAATTTGAGCTTTGGCCTTGAGGTTTGGCTAATGGTGCCCTATATTGCTGATATTGCTGCTGGCCTTGAGCATTTTGCTGTTGTTGTTGGTTCCCCTGGGAATTCCCATATCTCAAATTTGGATGATCCCTCCATCCTAGATTGTATGTATTTGAATATGGTTCATATCTTCTCTGAGGACCTTGCCCTTGGAAACCCATTGCATTGGCCTGCTCATTCTGCTCCTCTTGTAATTGAGGACATGCATCAGTGGGATGTCTCATGGAGGTGCATAAACCACAAGCATTCAGTTGCTGTGGATTCCTTGAGTTCACCATGAACTCACGCATCATAGAAGTCAAATTAGCTACTTGACTCTCTAACTCAGTTGTATTCGAATTTGCTGCATTCACCCGGCGCGTGGGAGTTCTCTGACTGAATTGCCTAGAATTTTCTGCTAGCTCTGCAATCAGCCTAGTTGCATCTCCTGGAGTCTTATTCACTAGCCCTCCTCCACTTGCTGCATTCACCATCCTCAAGTCATCATCAGTTAGACCTCCATAGAAGTATAGGATGAGGTCTTGATCAGAATACCCATGGTAAGGACAACTAGCACACAATCTCTTAAATCTCTCCCAATACTCATACAAGGATTCATCTTCCTTCTGATCCACATTGCTAATAGCTTTCTTAAGGCTTGCAGAAATAGTGGCTGGGTAGTACTTCTCAAGGAAACACTTCTTTAAATCTGCCCAAGTTGTTTTGCTACCTGGGGGAAGATAGTAAAACCAATCCTTTGCTGCATCTTTGAGAGAAAAAGGAAATGCTCTCAACTGAATTTGTTCATCAGTCATCCCAATCGGTTTCATGCTAGTGCAAACCACATGAAATTCTGCCAGATGTTTATTCGGATCTTCCCCTTTCATGCCATGGAATGCCGGCAATAGATGAATTAGACCGGATTTGATCTCAACATTAGTACCTTCCTCCAACTGCTGGTATGCAATGCACAACGGTAGTTGGTTCAAGTTGGGAGCTGTGAGTTCCCTTAGAGTTCGATTGTCAGCCATCTCCTCTTCTTCTTGAATATTGAAGGAGTATGTTGATTCACTGGGGGCTGTTCTTGCCTCTTTTCGCAACCTGGAAATATTTCTTTCAATTTCTGGATCAAACTGCAAAACTTCTTTGTTAGCAGAACGGGTACTTATCATACCCTAGAGAACAAACAAAGAAAGATAGCTAAGAACAGTCCTAAAATAAATTCTACAAAGATAAACAATTAAAAAGTAACGCCTTAGTTCCCCGGCAACGGCGCCAAAATTTGGTGTGCCTCAGTCGTATGCAACCAAAAATATCACAACTAAGCTAACTGCAAATAAACGTAGTTAGGGGAGTCGAATTCGAATCCACAGGGAAAAAGGGACTAATAACTGCAAACCTAAGTGGAATTACTCTAGGAACGTAGTAATCTAAGTAACAAGGGGGTTTTGACAAGCAATGGTGACAATTAAACTAAATCAGAACAATGAACGTAAATAGTATGCAATCAATGAGAACAACGGTCTTGGTTATGCGAAATCCACAATTGAACATACAAATTGATCATAGAAGCCTCTTCAATCAAACACTATTGAACACCTTGTTGTAGAATTCTAAATTCTAAATTCTCATAAGCTAGTTAGAAATAGCAAAGCGCTCCTTTCTAACCCTTTCTAATGTATAATTTAAGACAAGCGCTCTAAATCATCCACAAGAAGAACATAAACGGAGAAATCAACAAGGATTGAATAAATTAACACAAGCGGTCTAATTTCTTCAATAATATTATTCCCTCTTTAAGTTATCAATCAAAAGCATGCATTCATAACCCAAAGTTGCTACTTTGGAAAGATTAATTAGATGCAAGCGAATCTAACAATTCTAACCTAGCAATTGATTAAAGCAAATCATGAAATAATTCAAAGGAATAATAAACATTCAATAGATAATAAAGAGAAGAGAAATCTCACAATTCGTAGCCAAAAGCTTCAATCTTTAACCAAGAATCCGGAAGATTAAGCTTCCATGGATTCTAATTCAAAAACAAAGATTTCTGAAATTTGCCAAGAACCCTAGAAAACTTTTTCTTCTCTCTAACTTAATTCTCTCTAATTAACCTCTCCTAACTCTTCATAAAAATAGACTATATATATGTTTCCATACTTAAGATAACATAAAACAATAATAAAAATAATAAATAAATACAAAACACGAGCCAAGACAAAGCAAACTACTGAAAAATAACCAAAACAGGCCCCGAAATCTGGAAGACCCGCTGCCAGCTGCTCGGGACCCGCTGGCAGCGGCTAAAGCAGCAAAACACTTCGTCCTCTCTGGCTGACCCGCTGCCAGCGGCTCTGGCCAGCTGCCAGCGGCCCTGGCAGCGGTTCTGCTGTCTTCTTTGCTCTTTCTTCTAGCTTTGCTTCACCTTTACTCAAGCTTTCTCCCTTGCTCTTCCAAGCTCCATCACGCTTCTCAAATCACGAGCTAAGGTCCATACTCTATAATCCTCCTCATTAGTTCCCGAACTCACTCACTAACACCTATAAATCCCGGCTTTTGCACACAAGTGAGATCACTGCCCGAAACTCACAAAAGCTATTAAAAACTCATGCACAACATCAAAACACACCCTAAAACTCTTCTCTCAACCCTTGATAAGACGGCTTATCAGTAGCTTGAATGTAGCTTTCTGCCTCCCTCATGGCCGCCTGTAAGGTGAAAGCCCCTTTTCTGACTAGGTCAAACTTAAAAGTTGACCCGTCTCTCAGACCTTTGACAGTCCTTGAATCTGAATTCTAATCACATTGAACCGCCTAACATAGGAGCTCAACCCTTCTCTCTCCCCCTGCTTAATGGTGCTTAAGTCCAAGCTTGTTTTCTTAGCAGGGATGTTCATTGAGAAGTTGGAAGCAAATAGGAAGGCAAGCTTCCTAAAACTGTCAATGCACCCGGCTGGCAGATTACCAAACCATTGTTGGGCGATGCCCTTCAATGTAGCCGGGAAGCAATGACACCAAGTGGCATCATCCAACCTTTGCAGATACATGAGGTTCGTATAAGCCATGAGATGGTCTTCCGGATTGGTGGTACCATCATAGGTACCAACCAACACATTCTTAACCTTGGACGGCTGTGTCGCCTCGGTTATCTCCCGGGTGAACGCAGAAGGTTGTTCACCCAGGCGAAGCAGACGAAGCTGCCAGTCCAGTGGTTGGACATTTTGGTATGCCGCTTGACCTCCAAAGAGAGCCGGCTGCATGAAATGAGGGGGATACTAGCCGTAGACTTGAGTAGGTACATACGGTGCATCTCCAATCATCTGAGGGCCAGAGTGGACGGTATTACCGCGTGTCTGACTCTCATGCAAGGAAGATGCATTCCCTGCAGAGGTATTGTTAAAGCTGTCAGGAAAGTTCGACGTGGAAGCCGACTCAGACAACTGCTGATCTCTCTTCCGGGCATCAAGAGATGATTTCTTACTTCTCACCGGCTGTTGAGTCTGGCGAGGGTTATTGATATTCCCCTCTCCTTTGGACCAATCAATGCTCCCGGCTGCCTTCTCCTTTGGATGAGGAGTGGGCTGCCGGTCTCTGACTGACTTCCCCTTTTCAAGAGGAGTCTTCTTGGCCGACTGACCTCTACTTGGGCCAGCCTGGCTCTAGGTGATCAGCTCTTTAATTTCACCCTTGAAACTTGTCATGAATCTCATGAGCTCGTCTCGGGTGACAGGCGCTGATCCAGCTGCCGTATGGGTTTCCCCTTCCGGCTGACTAGGAGTCGAATTGCACCCGCCTGGGAGGCACCCCGCTCCAGAGTTTCTCTCGGTCGGATGCGCTTGATTCTGAGAGAGTCGTCGTCGGCTATAAAGGTTTCAACCTAGGGATCTTCATCCTCCTGGTCTGTAAAGACTTCTGAGTCATCACCTAGATGGTTAGGGGGTGGTACAGACTCTTGAACCATCTTCGAGGTACTCTCCCCACAGACGGCGCCAAATGTTTTGGGTGTTTTTGTCCCTTGGGAGAGTTACAACACGAAGACTGATCCGGTGTGACCTGTACCTGCACAACAAACGGAGACACCGGTTGGGTGGTGCTCCGCCTCCGACGCACAAGTTAGAAACTTGAAGAGAGAGAATAAGTGCAGAAATTTAGGTCGGTATCTGCTCGGATTCCAAGCTTAGGTCTTTCTCTAATGTAAGAGAATACTGGTGTAATAAATGGTAAAAAACCTGCCCTCAAAAAGAGGGACATCTCCCTATTTATAGGGTCTTTGGGATTAGTGCCCCTGATTAGGTAACTGAACCCTAACCATTGGTGGGCTGCGCCGCTTTGCGGCTTTCTCGGGATTTGGGCCTGAAGGCCGCCTTTTTTCCCTTAATTTCTGGAGTGACCACGTGGCGGGGTAAAATTACCCTAAACAAACCCCACTGTGATCATACACTAAAGTACAGTGGCGTCCAAAAGGGAAGAAGATAGAGCAAAAGAGTCGCCAACAAGTTTATGGAACTTGTAAACCGTTCACAGGGTGAAGGTTACACCCCTTAACGATTCGAGAGATCGTCAACTCCATAAGGAACCAAATAAGGGTTCGGGGATGAAGGTACAAATCCAACCTAAAATATATTGAACCTGCCCTAATAATAGGCCTCTACTTTATTCTGATCGTATTCATGTGCGCTTTCTGACTAACATGCAATCAATAGGATTAACCCTAAACCTGTTTATCTATGTTGGTTGAATATTAATGCACAAATAAACTATTATTGGCGATCACTTGAAATCATAATCATAATTAACCTAAACAAGATTATCAATTATCTTATTAAGCATGATTACAAATACCAATTCCTTTAAACATGCATAAAAGGCGTAATCAAGCAATAAATATAAATATCAAGCTACATAATAATAAATAATCATCATAAATAAAAGGCAAAATTGGCCTCAACACTCTAAACTTTGGCTTGGGTGCACTCAACACCCTGAACTAAGAAAAATAGCCAAAACACCCTGAAGTATTAGCATGGGTGCACTTAGCACCATACAAGAAATTTTCCGGCCAAAAGTGGCCAGATTCCGGCGAATTTTTTTTTAATAAAAAAATGTTTTTTTTTATTTTCTTCTTCTTCTTCTTCTTCTTCTTCTTATTATTATTATTATTATTATTATTATTATTATTATTATTATTATTACTATTAGTTCAAAGTGTTGAGGCCAATTTTTCTTAATTCATGTGCGCTTTCTGACTAACATGACATCAATAGGATTAATCCTAAACCTGTTTATCTATGTTGGTTGAATATTAATGCACAAATAAACTATTATTGGCGATCACTTTAAATAATAATCATATTAACGTAAACAAGATTATCAATTATCTTATTAAGCATGATTACAAATACCAATTCCCTTTAAACATGCATAAAAGGCGTGATCAAGCAATAAATATAAATATCAAGTAACATAATAATAAATAATCATCATAAATAAAA